TTGTTATTCTTTTCACTGTATCACAGTGCATTTTGGTCTTTACTATTAGACATTCTGATGGATCGTGTCAAGGTTTTTTCTTTTTGGTTTTTTTAGAGAAAGTCAACTTGCAAAAGGAATAGGTTCTCAATTTCCTGGTGTGTAGTTAGGTTAGTAGGTAGGATTAAGCATACATTTTGTTGGTGGGGCATGGTGGCTCATGCCTGTAATCCCAGCACTTTGGGAGACTGAGGCAGGCAGATCACAAGGTCAAGAGATTGAGACCATCCTGGCCAACATGGTGAAACCCCGTCTCTACTAAAAATACAAAAATTAGCTGGGCGTGGTGGTGTGCGCCTGTAGTCCCAGCTACTCGGGAGGCTGAAGCAGGAGAATCACCTGAACCCGGGAGGCGGAGGTTGCAGTGAGCGGAGATCATGTCACTGTACTCCAGCCTGGTGACAGAACAAGACTCCATTTCAGAAAAAAAGCAAGACCTCCTGATAATAAAAGAAGGTATTATTAATAATTACGTTTGGTCAACAGGTGTAAATTGGGAAGGCTTTGGGCAAACAGTTAAAAGTAGCACCCTCTAAGTCGATGTTATAATGAATAAAAATGCCTCTGGGTTGACCTTACATTGTTCATTTGTAAATATTTTGAATATGTATGTCAATTTTACAGTATTATATAACCTAACAATCCAAAAATAGGCTTTTTAATGATTGTCTTCTGGAAAATCCTATAATTCCTTTGAGAATGGAAGGAAAGAGGGCTCCAAGTTCCTGATTGAGAGTAATTAATTAATTTATTAAATAGGTGTTTATTGCTTATTAAATATCAGGCATTGTTCTAGGAGCTGGAGATGTGGTAATAAGGAAAACAGACAAAAACCTCTATGCTTCTGAGGCTTGGATTTCAGTAATGAAACAAAGGTGATCTTACTGACCTATACAGTTAGTAAGATTTGGGTTTTGCATTGCTTTTTTCAATAATGCTGATAGAGGAATTACTGAAGCATCCCCATTCTTAGGCCAAACCAGATTCCTTGGTGACCTGTGCCATGTATTATAAAGCAGTAGGTTGAGATGTGGTTAGGAATACAACTGTGGTCGCAGCAGAGATAGTTTGTGTGTGAGTATCTGAGCAATGTGGAAACTATGCCTATGGCCTTGAAGTCTCTAGTCCTATAGTCTGATCCAGTGAGCTGATGAGTTTACAACAAAGTAAATTCATTTGTTTAGCCCAAGGGAAACATTTGCCAATTTTACAGTCGGATAATTCCTTTAAAAAATTCATTAGTAGTTATTTCAGTATTAAGATTTCCCATAAATTAAATCTGTGTAGATTTCCAGCTGAGTTAGAATTTTACCAAAATGATAGAATCCTACTAATTACTATGTTAAGTAAATCCTCATCCTCTCTGTAAATAACATAGGTGGTAATTTACCCTTCTGTAGATGTATAAATTAAGCCACCAGGAGGTTAAGTAATTTGCTCAAGGCCACAGTGTGTGGTAGGTTAGAAATTGAATTTAAAAGCCTTGATGCCCAATTTTTTTACATCAGATAATTTATTTCCCACATTTAGATGTATATAATAACTGATATCTATAAATAAAACACTTTATCTATAAATAATAGGCAATATTTGTAAGAATTCATCTACCTAATTATCGTAACATTGATATTGATGCAATATTAACAGTGCTGTGGTTTATCCCAGGAAGAGCTATTGAATGACTATTTTATCTTAATGATTTTCAAGAACAGCAGACCTCAGGGAGATGGATGAGTTTTAGATCAAGAAACATTTACATTCCCAAACTTATTCAGGCGTTTCAGCTTGTAAGAAAAAATTTAATTGAATTTTTCTTGTTAAGTTTTATTCTCCTTTTAGGCCTACTCTAGGCAAGAGTGGCCTATGAGTGGCTTTTCTGGGCTATGCAGAATGCCTGGTAGTTTACTTTCTGACACTTGATGAGGTCTCAAGATTTGGGAGTTAGGTATACAAAACAAGTTTTCGCTCTTCTGTATTTTTTATTTTTTATTTTTTTTGAGATGGAGTTTTGCTCTTGTTTCCCAGACTGGAGTGCAATGGTGCAATCTCTGCTCACTGCAACCTCCGCCTCCCGGGTTCAAGTGATTCTCCTGCCTCAGCCTCCCAAGTAGCTGGGGTTACAGGCACATGCCACCACGCCTGGCTAATTTTGTATTTTTAGTAGAGACAGGGATTCTCCATGTTGGTCAGGCTGGTCTTGAACTCCTGACCTCAGGTGATCCACCTGCTGCAGCCTCCAAAAGTGCTAGGATTAAAGGCGTGAGCCACTGTGCCTGGCTGACTTTTCTGTATTTTACAGGACAATAATCCACGTTATGAATGAGAAATCAGTTTTGTATTTACTTATTTAAATGTAAACAGCCACCAGCATTTGAATTTCTCTGCCATTTATAGTGATAGATGAAAGAGAAGCAAAATAAAACAAAGACCCTAAAAGATAGCTCTAACTCTTGTAGAAGAAAAATGAGAAGCCTTTCTCAAATTCTCTTGTACCCTACAAAAATGAATTAAAATAATTTTCTTCCGACTACTCATCCTAATGTTTGTACTAAAAGACAAATGAGTTTAAGGATATCTGAGTACAAATAATATATAAATCACAACTTCTTTTTTTCTTTTTTGAGACAGTCTCGCTGTGTCACCCAAGCTGGAGTGCAGTGGCATGATCACAGCTCACTATGGCCTTGACCTTCTGGGCTCAGGTGATCCTCCCCCTCAGTCTCCTGAGTAGCTGGGACTACAGGTGCAGGCCACCATGCCTAGCTAATTTTTGTATTTTTTGTAGAAACAGGGTTTTGCCATGTTGACCAGGCTGGTCTTGAACTCCTGGACTCAAGCTATCCACCCTCCTTGGCATCCCCAAGGGCTGAGATTGCAGGTGTAAACCACCACTTCCAGCCTCAATCATGACTTGTAAAGAGTAAGTTTGCAATGATTTTTCTTGAGACCATAGGCCCAGAATAGCAGTGTGTAAATATAATATCTCAGACCAAACAAAAAAGTCCCAAACACCAAAAAAAGCAAAACTCACGTAGGCATGATTTATTCCACATACAGGCATACCTCATTTTATTTCATTTCACTTTATTGTGTCTTTTTTTTTTTTTTTTCCTTCTGTTTGAGATGGAGTCTGGCTCTGTTACCCAGGCTGTGGTGTAGTGGTTAGATCGTGGCTCACTGCAACCTCCACCTCCTGGGTTCAAGCGATTCTCCTGCCTCAGCCTCCCAAGTAGCTGGGATTACAGGCCTGTGCCACCAGACCCAGCCAATTTTTGTATTTTTGGTAGACATGGGGTTTCACCACGTTAGCCAGGCTAGTCTTGAACTCCTGACCTCAGATGATCCACCTGCCTCAGCCTCCCAAAGTGCTGGGATTACAGGCGTGAACCACTGCGCCTGGCTTGTGCCTTGTAATTTTTACAAATTGGAGGTTTGTGGCAACCTTGAGCTGAGTATATTGGCAAAGTATATTGAAAGCATACAAAGCAAAGTATATTGAAAATCTTGTGGGAAGGATTCACCATTCTAGATGCCATTAAGAGCATTAGTGATTCACAGGAGAACATCAACATTAATAGGAGTTTGGTTTGATAGGAGGAGGTTGGATTCCAACACTCATGAATGATTTTGAAGGTTTCAAGATTCAGTGGAGGAAGTAGCACCATTTTCCCAACGGTATACGCTCACTTTGTATTTCTGTGTCAAATTTTGGTAATTCTTGCAATATTTCAAATTTTTTCATTATTATTATATCTGATATGGTGATCTTTGATCAGTGATCTTTTGTGTTACTATTGTAATTGTTTTGGGACATCAGGAACCAGACCCATATATGAGGGTGAGCTTAATCAAAAGTCTTGTAGGTGTTCTGACTGCTCCACTGACTGGCCTTTTCCTTCCACTCTCTCCTTAGGCCTCTTCATTCTCTGTGACAGAACAATGTTGAAATTAGACCAGTTATAGCTGGGTGCAGTGGCTCACACCTATAATCCCAGCACTTTGGGAGGCTGAAGCAGGCGGATCACTTGAGATCAGGAGTTTGAGACCACCCTGGCCAACATGGCAAAACCCTGTTTGTACCAAAAATATAAAAATTAGCTGTGTATGGTGGCATGCATGTAATTCCAACTATTGAGAAGGCTGAGGCAGGAGAATCGCTTGAACCCGGCAGTGCAGGTTGCAGTGGGCTGAGATCCTGCCCCTACATTCCAGCCTGGGCGATGGGAGTGAGACTCCATCTCAAAAAAAAAAAAAAAAAAAAAAAAAAGGAAAAGAAAAGAAAAGAAAAAAATAAATTAGGCCAGTTAGTAATCCTATGATGGCCTCTAAGTGTTCAATACAAGGAAGGTCGTACATCGCTGACTTTAAATCGAAAGCTAGAAATGTTTAAGGATGGTGAGGAAGGCATGCCAAAAGTCAAGAGAGGCCAAAAGCTAGACCTCTTGCTCCGAACAGTTAGCCAAGTTATAAATGCAAAGGAAAAGTTCTTGAAGGAAATTAAAAGTGAAACTCCAGTGAACATATGAATGATAAGAAGGTGAAACAGCCTTATTGCTGACATGGAGAAAGTTTTAGTGGTCTTGATAGAAGATCAGCCACAACATTCTCTTAAGCCAAAGCCTAATCCAGAGCAAGTGTCTCTCCTCAATTCTATGAAGGCTGAGAGAGGTAAAGAAGCGGATAAAAAATGTTTGAAGTTAGTAGAGGTTTGTCCATGAGGTTTACGGAAAGAAATTGTCTCCATAACATAAAAATACAAGATGAGGCCGGGTGCGGTGGCTCACTCCTGTAATCCCAGTGCTTTGGGAGGCTGAGGTGGGCGTATCACCTGAGGGCAGGAGTTCGAGATTAGCCTGGCCAACATGGTGAAACCCCACCTCTATTAAAAATACAAAAATTAGCTGGGTGTGATGGCAGGCACCTGTAGTCCCAGCTACTCAGGAGACCCAGGCTGGAAAATCGCTTAAACCCAGGAGGTGGAGGTTGCAGTGAGGTGAGATTGCACCATACACTCCAGCCTAGGTGGCAGAGCAAGACTCCATCTAATAAATAAATAAATAAATAAATAAATAAATAAATAAGGTGAATCAGCAGCAAGTGCCCAAGTAGAAGCTGCACCAAGTTATCCAGAAGATCTAATTAAGATCAATAATGGAAGTGGCTACACTAAACCGCAGATTTTCAATGGAGACAGAACAGTCTTCTGTTGAAAGAAGATGGTGTCTGGGACTTTCATAACTAGAGAAGAGTCAATGTCTGTCTTCAAAGTGTCAAAGAATAGGCTAACTTTCCTGTTTGGGACTATTGTAGCTGGTGACTTTGAGTTGAAGACAATGCTCATTTGTCACTTTGAAAATTCTAAGCCCCTGAATAATTATGCTAAATCAACTCTGCCTGTGCTCTATAAATGGAAGACAGCACTTCTGTTTACAGCATGGTTTACTAAATATTTTAAGCCCAGTGATGAGACCTACTGCTCAGAAAAAAAGATTCCTTTCAAAATAGTACTGCTTATTGATAATGCACCTGGTCACCCAAAAGGTCTGATGGAGATGTACAAGAAGACAAACGTTGTTTTCATGCATTCATTCTGCAGCCTATGGATCAAGAAGTAATTTCGACTTTCAAGTCTTACTCTTGAAGAAATACATTCTGTGAGACTATAGCTGCCGTAGATGGTGAATCTTCTAATGGATCTGGGCAAAGTATATTGAAAACTTTCTGGGAAGGATTCAGCATTCTAGATGTGATTAAGAGCATTGGTGATTCACGGGAGAACATCAACATTAACAGGAGTTTGGAAGAAGTTGATTCCCACTCCCATGAATGACTTTGAAGTTTTCAAGATTCAGTGAAGTAAGTAACTGTAAATGTGGTGGAAATAGCAAGAGAACTAGATTTAGAAGTGGAGCCTGAAGATGTCACTGAATTGTTGCAGTCTCATGATAAAACTTGAGCAGATGAAGAGCTGCTTCTTATGGATGAACCAAGTAAGTGGTCTCTTGAGATAAAATCTATTCCTGGTGAAGATGCTGTAAACATTGTTGAGAGGATGACAAAGGATTTAAAATAACCCATAAACTTAGTTGATAAAGCAGCAGCAGGATTTGAGAGGATTGAATCCGGTTTTGAAAGAAATTCTACTGTGACTAAAATGCTGTCAAACAGCCTCGCATGCCACAGAGAAGTCTTTCATGAAAGGAAGAGTCAATCTATGTGACAAACTTCATTACTATCTTACTACAATTAGGTTGTCTTACAGCCAGCCCAACCTTCAGCAACCACCACCCACTATGATTGGTCAGCAGCCATCAACATCAAGACAAGACACTCCACCAGCAAAAGATGATGACTTGCTGAAGGTTCAGATGATTCTTAGCATTTTTTAGCCATAATGTATTTTAAAATTAAGGTTTCTCCTTTTTTTTTTTTTTTTTTTTTTTTTTTTTTAAAGACATAATGCTCTTGTACTCTGAGTAAAGTCCCACTGCTAAATTTGACTGGCTTAAAAAAAATACACTACAGTATAGTGTAAACATAAATTTTACATGCAGTGGGAAACCAAAATATTGTATGACTCCCTTTATTATAATACTCACTTTATTGGAGTGGTCTGGAACCAAACCAACAATATCTCTGTATAATTTATATGTATATGAGAGAAAAACACATTTGGGGTTCACATTGCTCAATATATTTCTCTAAGCAAAATTCTGTCAAGTTGAAAACTTATTAGCCTTTTAAGAGGGTCTTGTTCTGCAGTTGATCCATACTCACAAATTTCAATGAATTCTTTGTAAAATCTGCGCAAAATATTACTAGAGTCAGAACCTTAGAAATTATGCATATCTAAAGTAAATTTAATTTTTGGAGGGTGTTCATTTGGAAAGATCAAGGAGATTAAGGGAGAAAAATTATGACATAAAAAGGAAACAATCTTACTTTCTGGGTGAATTATTTTCCTGAATGATCAATTTCTCTTTTTAGGAGTTTGGTCAAAATGAATTACACATTTTAGGCTTTAAGTAATATCCAGTTTGCTTTCAAATCTCTCTCTCTCTCACACACACACATGTGCAGAGCACACCTTTAATTTTCAAGTCTTTACTAATGATTCCAAAGCACGCAAGATATGAAAATATTTAGAAAAAGCTAATAGAATATATGTTGTTTATTTTATGAACTACTGTAAGGCAGTTCATTAGCAAAATGTAAAAGCAAATAGAATACTAAGAGACAAATAGGTCACTCTGGTGCATCTAGAGACTTCTAAGGGGACAGAGTCAAATTCATCTGAATCTACTTTGTAATTGAAAAGTGTTATAATGCAATGAGAAAATATATCAACAAGTTGTAATTTCACCTACCTTTAAAACAGCAAACACAATAGAAAAACCCACAACCTCTCTTTAGGTCCCTATATTGACCCTGGTTGTTTCTTCTCAATCTTCTTTGCTGGTTCTTTCCATTCTTTGTGACCTTGGAATATTGGTATGTTCTGTGGGCTCTTCTTTTCTCTAATTACACTTACTCTTTAGATGACCTCATCCAATGCCATGATTTTAAATACACTCTATAGGCTGACAGCTCCCAAATTTATATTTCCAGCCCAGCCCTCTCCCCTGAACTCTTGACTCATATATCCAACTTCTTACTGACAGAGCCACTTTGGTGTCTATCAACAGGTCCTGGTATTCCTCTCCATGCCCTCCCACCCCCAACTGCTTCCAACTTCAAATCTGCTCCTCTTAAAGTTTTTTCAATCTAAGTAAAAGGCAATTTTATTCTTCCAATTGCTTGAGACAGTTTCACTCTGTCACTCAGGCTGGAGTGCAGTGATGTGATTTTGGCCCTCTGCAACCTCTGCCTCCCAGGTTCAAGCGATTCTTGTGCCTAAGCTTCCTGAGTAGATGGGATTACAGGCATGCATCACCTTGCCTGGCTAATTTTTGTATTTTTGGTAGAGATGGGGGTTTCACCATGTTAGCCAGGCTGGTCTTGAACTCTTGAGCTCAAGTGATGTACTTGTCTTGGCTTCACAAATTGCTGGGATTACAGGTGTGAGCCACTGAACCCAGCCCCTGCTTTATTTTTTATTATGTGCTGCAGTGAGCCAAGATGGCACCACTGCACTCCAGCCTGGCAACAGAGTGACACCTCGTCCCAAAAACAACAAAAAAAGTCAATTATGGTCAATTATGGTTTTACTTAACCAACTTTCTTTTATTTTTACATTTTTATTTACTTATTTATTTATTTGCAGCATGGTCTCGTGCTGTTGCCCAGCAACTCGTGCTGGAATGCATTGGTGTGATCATGGCTTACTGCAGCCTTGATCTCCCAGGCTCAAGTGATCCTCCCACCTCAGCCTTTTGAATAGCTACGACCGTAGGTGCCTGCCACTATACCCGGTTTACTTTATTTTTGTTTTTGTAGAGACAGGAGTCTTCCTATGTTGCCCAAGTTGGTCTCAAACTCTTGAGCTTGACGAATCCTCCTGCCTCAGTTTCCCAAAGTCCTGGGATTACAGGCTTGAGCCATGTTGGTTACATGCCCAGCCTTAACCAACTTTCTCGATATTCTGGCCAGTTCAGAATTTCTTTCCGCAGCATAAAGAAAAAAACAAAACAAAACAAAAAACAAACTGTAATTTGAATCACAATGATTTATTCAGTGAACTAAGAAGCATAGCTTTTTCTTTGTTATTTTGTTATTGAATTTATAGACTGTTCACCCTAAGAAGGAAAGTCAGCAGCACTGCATAAGAAACATTCATTTAAATTTTTCTTTCTTTCTTTCTTTTTTTTTTTGAAGCAGAGTCTTGCTCTGTTGCCCAGGCTGGAGTGCAATGGCTCCATCTCAGTTCACTGCAACCTCTGCCTCCCAGGTTCAAGTGATTCTCCTGCTTCCGCCTCCCAAGTAGCTGGGATTACAAGCCTGTGCTACCATTCTTGGCTAATTTTTGTATTTTTAGTAGAGGTGGCATTTCACCATGTTGCCCAGGCTGGTCTCAAGTTCCTGACCTCAAGTTATCCTCCTGCCTCAGCCTTTCAAAGTGTTGGGATTATAAGCATGAGCCGCTGTGCCCAGCCAATCTAAATTTTTCTTTTTCTTTTTTTTTTTTTTTTGAGACAGAGTTTTGCTCTTGTTGCCCAGCCTGGAGTGCAATGGCATGATCTCAGCTCACTGCAACCTCTGCCTCCTGGGTTCCAGTGATTCTCCTGCTTCAGCCTCCCGAATAGCTGGGATTACAGGCATATGTCACCACGCCCATCTAATTTTGCATTTTTAGTAGAGACGGGGTTTCTCCATATTGGTCAGTCTGGTTTCAAACTCCCGACCTCAGATGATCTGCCCACCTTTTCCTCCCAAAATGTTGGGATTACAGGTGTGAGCCACTGCACCCGGCCTGAATTTTTCTACACTAAAATGTATAGCAATTTTAATGAACCAACCAGTGTCATTATTGCCATAGACTAAAACTCCAACTACCTAATCTGCTTGCCAATTTGGGTTGTTGCCAAGAATTTGTTCCAAATTTGATTGCATTGACTCAATAGACTTTCCTAGGTTGAGATAAAAGATAGGTAAAGAAAGATTACAAACATGTTTTTAAAAAGTATTGGGAAAAATGAAATACAGTGTATCTATTTATGTACTTGCTTGTTATCACCATTTGTATGCTTCAAGTCAAATCCAGGAACCTACATAAAAAGATGAAAAGATATAAAAACACCAAGACTCTGTTTTATGTACTTTCCCTCACACTCATTTTTTGCTTACACTCTTATTGCTGTTGTTCTTCCAGTTAATGTATAACTTAGTGTTATTTTTTGAGATAAAAAAGTTTACATGATATGAATCACTTCCTTCTTTGTATACCCCATACTCCTGTAATACACTTACGAATCTTACTGCCTTTCCAATACTCCTCACCAGATTGCAAGCTCCTTGGCAGGGCCCATGACTAACCCTTTCTTTGTATCTCCAGTGCATAGTACAGTACTGGTACATGCCAGAAACTTTATAAACATTTGTTGAAATAAATTGATTTGGCCTATCTGCCATAGTAACAGCAGGAGGGTAATCACCTGCTACTTTCTTGTTTCTGGCATGGCATATATTAATTAGCTGCTGAGGTGAGTTTTTCTAGTTAAATAGCTTTCCATGGAAAATAGGCGAATAATAGTTTCTTTTTCTTTCCAACTTTTATTTTAGGTTCAGGGGTACATGTGCAGGTTTGTTACATTTCATGGGCATTTGGTGTACTGATAATTTTGTCACCTAGGTAATCAGCATAGTACCCAATGGAGAGTTCCTTCCTTCCTTCCTTCCTTCCTTCCTTCCTTCCTTCCTTCCTTCCTTCCTTCCTTCCTTCCTTCCTTCCTTTCTTCCTTCCTTCCTCCTTCTTTTCTTTCTTCTTTCCTTTCCTTTTTTTTTTTTTTTTTTCAGACACAGTTTCGCTTTTGTCGCCCAGGCTGGAGTGCAATGGCGCAATCTTGGCTCACTGCAACCTTCGCCTCCCGGGGTTCAAGTGATTCTACTGCCTCAGCCTCCCGAGTAGCTGGGATTATAGGCACCTGCCACCATACCCTGCTAATGCTTGTACTTTTAGTAGAGACATGGTTTCGCCATGTTGGCCAGGCCGGTCTCAAATTCCTGACCTCAGGTGATCCATCAGCCTCAGCCTCCCAAAGTGCTGGGATTACAGGTGTGAGCCACCGCGCCGGCCCCCAGTGGGTAGTTTCAAACCTTACCTTTCTCCCACCATCTGCCCTCAAGTAGGCCCTGGTGTCTGTTGTTCTCTTCTTTGTGTCTATATGTACTCGATGTTAATAATAGTTTCTTACTCGTAGAATTATGATGAGGAATAAATGGAATAATATATGTAAAGCGTTTTGCAAAGTACAGGGTAAACATTCAGTTTTTGGTTAGCTATTATTGTAGCTGCTACTTTTATTATTGTTCTTATTACTATTAATAATTTTGATTTGGTTTTGGTAACCCATGCACTATTTCAGATGAAGAGCATAAGCATGATGGACTGTTTGTGTCCCCCTAAAATCCATACATCGGAATCCTAATTCCTAATACGATGGTATTGGGAGGTGGAACCTTTGGGAGGTAATTAGGTCATAAGAGTAGAGTCCTCATGAATGGGATTAGTGCCCTTATAAGAAAAAACATGAGGGAGATGATTTCTTTCTTGGCCAGGTGAAGATACAACAAGAATACAGTCTTCTGCAAACCAGATAAAGAGCTCTCAATAAACACTGAATCTGCTGGTGCCTTGATCTTTAAGTTCCCAGCCCGCAGAACTGTTAGAAGTAAATGTTTGTTGTTCAAACCACCCTGTCAATGCTGTTATAGCAGCCTGAATGATGAAGACAGAAATTGGTAGTGGGAGTAAGGTGCAGATATAACAATTACCTAGAATGTGGAAGTGGCTTTGAAGCTGGGTAGTGGGTGGAGGCTGGAAAAGTTTTGAGGTGCATGCTAGATAAAGCCAACATTGCTAAAGATATTTTAAAGGTGATTCTGGTGACAGCTCAAAAAAAAGAGGAGTGCTGTAGAGAAAGTTTCCATCTGATTAGACAACACATAAATAACCATGCACAGAGTGTCGGTGGAAATATGGACATTAAGGACAACGCGGTCTCAGAATGGGGAAATATGTTATTGTACTATGGAAAAAAGACTATTCATGTTATAAATTGGCGAATAACTTGGCTGAATTTTGTTCATGTTCTAGTGTTTTGTGGAAGGTAGAACTTGCAAGTGAATGTTGAAGGAGTGGCTAGCAAGAAGAGAGAAATAAAGAGAAGATAAAATTGTTAAGCAAAAAGGAGGCAGAACTTAAGGATCTGGAAAATTCTCAGCCTGTCTACATTACAAAAAAATGAGAACGTGTGATGGGAAGGGAAGGGTGGGGTGTGGAGGAGCCACTATTTGATGTGGAGATTAGCATGGGTATGAACCATGGACCTAATCAACCACCCCAACAGAAACACTGACAGTCTTTTTTTCTTTTATTTTTACAGATATACTTTCTACTTTTGAAACACTGACAGTTTTTATTTTTAAAATTAAAAAAAATTTTTTGTACCATTTAGTCAGACTTCAAGGAGAAGCACTGACAGTTTGTGCTGAAGGAGACAGAGAGAGAACAAAATGAAGGAAGGCTGTTGAACTTCTCAGACCCACAGGACCAGACCACAACACTATTCAGCTTCGAAAGGGGGAAAAGATGACTCCAAAGGTGATTCAGAGATCATCAGGGCTGCCATTCTCACCACAGGCCCAGAGTGCATGGGCCAGGGGGCAAGGCTACTGCCACCTCAGTTTCAAAGGGAAACAAAGGGGCAGAGCTGTAGGGACACAGCCGCTGCCCCAGTGGGTCCTTGGGGTGGAACTGCTACTCCAGTGGGTCCAGAAGGCAGAGCACTGAGCTAAAGAGAATTATTCTTGAGCTATCATATAACACAGAATTTGCCTTGTTAGAGTTTAGACTTTCTGGAAACCCATCACCACTTTCTACTTTCCTGTTTCTCTCTTTTAGAGTGGAAATATCTATCCTATGCTTGTCCCATTATAATGTTTTGGAAGTATGCAACTTGTTTGGCTTTATAGGTTCACAGCTGGAGAGGAACTTAGCCTCAGGATGAATTGTACCTTGAGTTTTACTTGTATCTGATTTAGATGATGTTTAGCTGAGACTTTGCATTTTAGACTTTAGAGTTGATGCCTCAAAAAGTTAGGACTTTTGGGATTGTTGGTATGGAATGAATATATTTTGTATGTAGGAAGGACATAAATTTGGGGAATCAGGGGTTGCATGCTGTGAACTGAATGTTTATGTCCCTCTAAATTCATATATTGTAACCCTAATCCCCACTGGATGGTATTTGAAGGGAGGGCCCTTGGGAAGAAATTAAGGTTTGGTTAAGTAATAAGACTGAAGCCACCATAATAGGATTAATGCCCTTAAAAAAAAAAAAGAAAGAGACACAAAATCTCTTTCTGTTTCCTGCACTGAGGAAAGGCCATGTGAGGAGGTAGAGGAAGTGGGTCCTCACCAGACACAGAATCTGCTAGCTTCTTGATCTAGGACTTCTCAGTCTCCAAAACTGTGGAAAAGAGATGTTTGTTGTTAAAGCCATCCAGTCTATGGTAATTTGTTGCAGCAGCTCAAATGGACTAAGACAGTCAGCACTGAGGTCATATTGGCTGTTGTAATTATTACTATTATTGGTTTGATTTTAGTCTTAAGGCATTATAGCCAGTTGCAGAAAAACAACGGTTTGTATACCTGTTCTTTTCATGATTAAGGAAGACTGAAAAGAATTTTCAAATGTAGAAGGCTACCCTTCTCCAAATTAGACCTAGAGCATGAGTGAGTGTGTGTGTGTTTTCCTCTTTTTTTTTCCTGGTTTTTTGAAACAGAGTCTCGCTCTGTCGCTCAGGCTGGAGTACAGTGGCGTGATCTTGGCTCACTGCAAGCTCCGCCTCCCGGGTTCACGCCATTCTCCTGCCTCAGTCTCCCGAGTAGCTGGGACTACAGGTGCCTGCCACCAGGCCCGGCTAATTTTTTGTATTTTTAGTAGAAAGGGGGTTTCACTGTGTTAGCCAGGATGGTCTTGATCTCCTGACCTTGTGATCCACGCGCCTCGGCCTCCCAAAGTGCTGGGATTACAGGCATGAGCCACTGCGCCCGGCTTTCTCTCTTTTCTCTAGCAAAAGAGTGGCAGAAAATTACTTTGGCCTCTCTTAAGAAAGTAACTGACCTCTGAATCACTGAAGATAGCTCCCTGAGCAATGTGGGTAACAGGTTCACTGGAAACACTAAGGTTAGCCACACTTGCGTACAGACGTAGAGGGCAGGTGGCAACGTTGTGGATAAGGAGATGTAATCAGAAACACCTTATCTGGGCCAAGCGTAGTGGCTCACGCCTGTAATCCCAGCACTTTGGGAAGCTGAGGCAGGTGGATCACTTGAGGTCAGCAGTTCGAGATCAGCCTGCGAAACCACGTGTCTACTAAAAATACAAAAGTTAACTGGGCATGGCGGCATGTGCCTGTAATCCCAGCTACTCAGGAGGCTGAGGCAGGAGAATCGCTTGAACTTGGAAGGCAGAGGTTGCAGTGAGCCGAGATCACGGTACTGCACCCCAGCTTAGGAGACAGAGTGAGACGGTGTCTCAAAAAAAAAAAAAAAAAAAAAAAGAAGAAGAAAGAAAGAAACACCTTATTTGGAAGATGGTAAAAGAATATCCGCCTGGTTCCTGGTGGACTGTTATTCTGGGTCTTCAAGTAACAATTCAGTGCTCTTGAAAAATGGAGACCTAGGGCCGGGCGCGGTGGCTCAAACCTGTAATCCCAGCACTTTGGGAGGCCGAGACGGGCGGATCACAAGGTCAGGAGATCGAGACCATCCTGGCTAACACGGTGAAACCCCGTCTCTACTAAAAAAATACAAAAAAATAGCCGGGCGAGGTGGCGGGCGCCTGTAGTCCCAGCTACTGGGGAGGCTGAGGCAGGAGAATGGCGTAAACCCGGGAGGCGGAGCTTGCAGTGAGCTGAGATCCGGCCACTGCACTCCAGCCTGGGCGACAGAGCGAGACTCTGTCTCAAAAAAAAAAAAAAAAAAAAAAAAAGGAGACCTTATTGGGAGAGCATGGGCACCTGGTTTAAAAGGACTGAGCTCTAAGTTTTGTAATCTAGGAGTACCGCTCCCGGCCTTGGCTAAGTTTACATGGAAGATGAATGATGGAAGGAGCACAGTGACCCTTGCTGTAATATAAATAAAAAAGCATCATTGCAGAATGTGATGTTAGAAGGAAAAAATCATTTCTGTAAATTGAAAGATAAACAGTTTAAAAGCATAATCAAGGAAAGTTAAAACCATAAGGTAAAATCCATAGGATGTAAATGAATGCCTTTTAATTGAATCTTTTATGATAGCTTTTAAATTTTTTTATTGTAGTAAAATATACATAACATAAACTTTACCATCTTAGCCACTCTTAACTATGCAATTAGTGGCATTAAGTATATTGACAATGTTGTGTAACTATTATTACTATCAATTTCCAGAACTTTTTCATGATCCCTAATAAAAACTCTGTATCCATTAAATAATAAATCCCTATGCCCTTCTCCTCCCAAACCCTGGCACACCTGTATTCTACTTTCCATCTCTATAATTTTGTTTATTTTATGTATCTTGTGTAAGTGGAATCATAAAATATTTGTCCTCTTCTGTCTGGTTTATTTCACTTAGGATAGTGTTGACAAAGTTCATTCATGTTATAACGTGTATCAGAATTGCAATCCTTTTTAAGGTTGAATAATATTCCATTGTATGTATATACCATATTTGGTTTATCCATTCTTCTGTTGATGGAAATTTGGGTTGTTTCTACCTTTTGGGTATTGTGAATAGAGCTACTATAAACATTGGTGTGTAAGTATGATAGCATTTAATCTTTTTTTTTTGGCTCATGAATTCACTATAACTTTTTTTGTTGTTATTTTAGTGTTTTCTATAACTTTGTGGGGCTGATACATCTCCTTTTCTTTTCTTTTTTTTTTTTTTTTTTTAATTGAGGCAGGGTCTCGCTCTGTTCCTCAGGCTGGAGTGAAATGGTATGATCATGACTCACTACAGCTTTGAACTTCTGGGGTCAAGGAATTCTCCCACCTCAGCCTCCCCAGCAGCTAGGACTACAGACATGCGCCACCACGCCTGGTTAACTTTTATACTTGTTGCAGAGATGAGGTCTCACCATGTTGCCCAGACTGGTCTTGAACTCCTGGACTTAAGTGATCATCCCACCGTGTCCTCCAAAAGTGCTGGGATTACAGGCGTGAGCCACTGTGTCTGGCCAGGCTTCCACTTCTTTAGCTTATTATAGTTTAACTTCAAGTGGTATTATAGGACTTCATGTATAGTACAATAAATTTGTAACAGTATACTTCCTTTTCTCCCTTGCCTGCATTTATGCTGTTAGTATTATGCGTTTTACCTTTACATATATTATAAACCCCAAAACACATTGTTACTACTGTTGGGTAAACAGTCAACTATCTTTTAATAGATGTAAATAACAAGAAAAAATACTTTATATATTTACTCGTGTGTATTGGTCAGAGTTCTCCAAAGAAACAGAGCCAGTAGGGTATAGTAAATATGTTTATTATGAGAAATTGGCTCCCATGATTATGGAGGCTGAGAAGTCCCACAATCTGCCATTCATGAGCTGGAGACCCCGGAAAGCAGTGGTGTAATTCAGTCCAAGTCCAAAGGCCTGAGAACCAAGGGACCTGGTGTTGTAAATCCCAATGTGAGTGCTAGGGAAGATGGGATGAGATGTCTCAGTTCAACCAGACAAGCAGGAAGCAAAAGGGGTGAATTTTCCCCTTCTGCCACATTTTATTCTATTCAGGCTCCTAACAGATTGGATGAGGCCCACCCACACTAGGAGGGCAATCTACTTTACTGAGTCCACTGATTCAAATGTAATCTCATTCAGAAACGCCCTCACAAATATGTCCAGGAATAATGTTTAATCTGGGCACCCCATGGCCAGTAAGTTGACACATAAAATTAACAATCATGCCATGTATTACCATTTTTGGTTCTCTTCATTAATTTGTGCAGATTAAAATTTTCATATAGTGTATTTTTCTTCTGCCTGAAGAATTTCTTTAACATTTTTTTGTAGTGTGGATTTGCTGGTGATGAACTCTTTCAGCTTCGTGTGTCTAAAAGCGTCCTGGCCAGGCACGGTGGCTCACACCTGTAATCCCACCCAGCACTTTAGGAGGCCAAGGCAGAGAGTTGTTTGAGCTCAGGAGTTCAAGAACAGCCAGGGAAACAGAGTGAGAACTCATCTCAAGGAAAAAAGGAAAAAAAGGAAAAAATTCTTATAAAGACATTTTTACTGAGTGCAGATTTCTAGCTTTTTTCCTTCAACACTTTAAAAATGTTGTTCTACTGTTTTCTGGATTGCGTTATTACTGAAGTTAAATCTAATGTCATCCTTATCATTGTTTCTCTGTATATAATGTGTTTTTTCCTTCTGGTTGCTTTTAAGATTTTCACTTTATCACTGATTTTGAGCTGTTTGATTATTGTGTGACTTAGTGTAATTTTCTTCATGTTTCTTCTTCTTTTTTTTGTTTTTGTTTTTGGTAGGGTCTCGCTCTGTCACCCAGGCTGGAGTACTACAGTGGTGTGTTCACAGCTCACTGCAGACTCAACCTACTGGGCTCAAGAGATCCTCCTGCCTCAGCCTCCCAAGCAGCTGGGACTACAAGCGTGAGCCACTGCACCTGGCTTCTTCATGTTTCTTGTATGCTTGAGTTTTGTTGAGTTTCCTGTGTCTATCATTTCATCAAAGTTGAAACAATTTTAGTCATTATTTCCTGTAATATTTTTTCTCACACCCTCCTTTCAGCGACTCCAATTGCATGTCTTTTGTTCTAGGATGCAGTTAAATTACTTGAAAAGCATTTACTCCTTTCTTTTTTTTTTTTTTTTTTTTGAGATGGAGTCTCGCTCTGTCGCTCAGGCTGGAGTGCAGTGGCCAGATCTCAGCTCACTGCAAGCTCCGCCTCCCGGGTTCACACCATTCTCCTGCCTCAGCCTCCTGAGTAGCTGGGACTACAGGCGCCCGCCACCTCGCCCGGCTACTTTTTTGTATTTTTTAGTAGAGACGGGGTTTCACCATGTTAGCCAGGATGGTCTCGATCTCCTGACCTCGTGATCCATCCGTCTCGGCCTCCCAAAGTGCTGGGGATTATAGGCTTGAGCCACCGCGCCCGGCCGCATTTACTCCTTTTAAGTCTGTTTTTAATACTTTTTTGGTGGTACCAGTACAGTGTTTAGTCTACACCTATTTATTCCCCACTACTGAGGTAAGGTTAACTAATGAGTAGACTTTTTTACCCAAAGCCCCACAAATACGAAGTTCAGTCAATCTGGATGGGAAAATAGGTTATTTCTGATCTTGTGTGAGTGCTAAAACACTCTTTCCTTTAATCCTCTTGGGTGGTTTTCTTCCTGGCCCCAGGTAACTACCTCAAATGCCTACATTGATTAATACTCTGCTAAATACTTAAGGGAGACCCTTTACAAATCTCTGGAATTCTCTCTCTGCTCAGCTCTTTTCTCTGGTACTCTGTCTTGCAAACTCCAGCTGCCTTGGGTCTTCTTGGACTTTCAGCCCTGTCTCCTCAACCTGGGTTATTTACTGGGCTCTGCTTGGATATCTCCTCTTAGTGTCATGGCCTGGAAACCCTGCAAAGCAGTAAGTTGCACCTGTCACAGGGTTCACCTCATTTGTTTACTATCTCACAGGGATCACTTTGGTTTGTTGTCTGATGCTAGTATCTTGAGAGCTGTTGTTTAATGTATTTTATCTGTTTTTCTTTTTGTTGTTTCACCCAGGGGAGTTTGTGCCCCCTTAGTCCATCTTTACTGGAAGAAGAAATTCCAGATTAGTGTCTTAAAAAATATGTCAATGGAAAAAGAGGCGATAATGTAGTGGTGCTAGAATGATAGGAATGCCGTTTGCTAGAATGTTGTTTAATTGTGGCTGTAAAATAGTATTTTTGCCTAGAGTAAACAGCCTGATGAAGTGAAGAGAATATGAACTTTGTAGTTGGTGGTTTGGATTTCAGCTCTGTCACTTGGTAGCTGCCCGACTTTGAACAGGTTACTTCATCTTTCTGAGCCCTAGTTTCTTTAGGGAAAACAAGAAATATGAATATCTGACTCATGGTGTTACGGTAAGATTAGATAAGATGGTATATACAAATTGCCTACTGCAGTGTTTGGCATAGTAGCCCCTAAACAAAAGTTAATTCTTTCTTCTTTTTATTTATTTCTGTATTTATTATCACAACTCACTGCAGCCTCAACCTCATGGGCCCATGTGATCCTTTCCCCCCAGTCTTCCAAGTAGATGGGATTACAGGCATGTGCCACCATGCCTGGCTAATTTTTATATTTTTTGTAGAGATGGGGTTTTGCTACGTTGCTCAGGCTGGACTGAAACTCCTGAGTTCAAACGATTCACCCACCTTGGCTCCCCAAAATGCTGGGATTACAGGCGTGAGCCATAAATTAATTCCTTTCTTTAATAGCCTCTTTTATTCTCCATTTTCTGCATTTCTTCTACAAGATAGTTGTGCATGTTTCCTATCATTGAATTTTATACAATCTGGGAGAAAAGCAATAAGCCTCATTATATATTTCTTCAGGATACAGGACATAGAGTTTTCCTTCCTTTCTTCTTTTATTTCTTCCTACATCAAACACCTGTTATATAAAAGAGAATGTGCTGCAAACTGAGGGATAAAAATATGCATGATAGGGTCCTTGCTCTCCAAGAGCTGACAAACCAGCAAGTGAGATGGGCATGTAACCCACTGTATGATAAGATGGCACTATAGAAACACCATGTCTCTTTGCAGAAGAGAAAGTTGGTGGCTTGCTGGCTGACAGATAAAAGCGCCATGTCTGTATCCAGTCTGTCTTCAGCTTCTTTTGTTGTTTACTTCTTCAATATCTGATTTATTTCAAGGCTGAGGCTCTGATCCAGCTGACCCTGTCGCTGCAGAAACCATTTGATTCTTGCTACTTAGTGTGTTCAAAAGTCACTTTGTGGTAGACAGTATTCTTAATGAGCTGACAGAGCTGAGGTCAGAGTTCCCCGAGTCATGGCACCTCATCTGGGGGACTCATTGCCTCTGGACATGGAGTGATTACCTAAGGCACTGACTTTAGGAAAAGATGAAAGGCATCTCTTTATAAGCCTTCCTTGATCTTGACACTGAAGGCCTAAATGGCATTCTCATCAAGTATTTACTAAACTCATCACCAGCCAATCAATAGGAATTTGGCAGAAGGGAAGAAAGGAGGACACAATTCTTCTTCAGGCAGGGAATTAAAACTAACACAGTTAAAGAAGGACAGTCTTTCAGTGGAAAGGGTACAGGACTGGAAATGAGGAGACGAACGTTTCAGTCTAATCTTTTTATGTAAAATGGCATTAGATAACTATCTAGGAGTTTTAAAATTCTAGACTCTGACTGTGGAAACAATTAAGTACTGTAGTGCTATGCATATTAGTAAAAAAACCCAATAAAAATGTATCATCATTGATGTGATTTTTGAAGGTTTTATTTCTCCAGTGTAGCTTTAAATTTATTTATTTCAGACGAAACAAAATGCAATTTTTCTTCTGACTAAAGAACAGCAATTGTTTCTTTCTTTAAATGCCATGTTAGTAGAAATAGAAGGGAAAGTGCTTATAAACCAGAGAGAAAGTGGCACCACATGGCCAGACGGACTGACTATCACTAGCCCCATCTGAGTATGGGTGACTCTGGTTGTGGGTGTGTCTCTTTTGGTCTTACATCCTAACAGAGGAAATTACTCCACTCGCTGAAGACCCGGGGTTCATTCAGATCTTCCAGGGTAGATGCAAAGAGCAATCTGACCCTGCACATCTCTACACTATGACTTTGGATATGAGGTCCTCGAGGGCGGGAACTTGTTCACTAAATACATACATGTGAAATGAATGCTGGGCACCCAAAACCTACCTGTTTCTAAGAGACAGCTTAGCATAATGGCTAGGCACACGGGCTTTGAAGTCAGATTCCTGCTCTGCCACTAATCAAGTGTGTAAGCTAATTAAACCCTCAGTGTTTCAGTTTTCTCATCTGTAAAATGGGAATCACAGTTACCTCATTAAGTTGATATGAGAATTACATGAGGTAATACAAGTCGAGACCTGACACAAGGCTGAAGAAACACTCATTAAGCCCAAGCAATATAGGTGGAGCTAGGGTAGAGCAAATGACGATAGCCATCAGTAGCTTAATCGTGCAAGAAGAATGGATATTGTTCTCATTGCATAAATGAGGAAACTGAAGTTCAACGAGCTTAAGTAACTTGCCCAGGCCATACAGCTAGGAAGGGAATGGAACCAATTCTAGATCTCATGGTTTTAGACCCCTGAGTCAGTCTAGTGCTATCTCCACAATGAATTGCCTCAGGTGACTAGAGGTCGTGACTTGTCCAGTGGGCCAAATCTGACCCTGGAACATGGGGGTAGTTTCACCTCCCAGATGTTCCAGGCCAAATGGTATGTGCCATGTTTAAACCAGGGACTGCCTAGAGCTTTCTGTGATAGGAAAGTGGAAAATTGATATTTCTGGGAGTTCTTGATATTTCTGGGAGTTCTTCACAGCATCCAGTGCTCAGATGCCTTCAAGAATTTCCATTTTCAAATTATAACTGACATTGATTTTCTAAACAGGAGAGACTTCCTGACAGTATCCCTTATCTGATCTGCCCAACACTTGCTTAGAGAAGTGACAGACACTGACCTTTTAATCCTCATTGCATATAGCCAAAAGAATATCTTTAAAAAAGATAGTCAATTCCCATTGAAGCGGACATTGTATCAGATGATTTACATACTTACCTAATTTATCATTACAACATTCTGCAGAGATATAATTTATTATCTCCATTTTATGTTTTTTTCCCAAGGTTAAACACTTTGTAAGGGAAGTAGAATGTGAACCTATGACTTCTTCAAAGAAGCTTCTTCCAAGTACCTTCTCTGAGTATATGACACTGCCTTGCTCTTAACAAACAAACCAACAAACAGATACTTCATTCCATTTGATTCATCAAAATTCAACTAAAAAATTACCTACTGATGTGTTACTCTATGACCAGCTCAGTGCAACAGTTCTAAGCATCTTAAAACCTTGTTATGGAGTCTTAAGATCTTTATGTTTTAGGTTGTGCTATTTTAGGGAAAGTTATAATTTACATTGTTCAAAGCTACTCCCTGGCATATCTTCAAGACTTAATAAAGATTTTGTGGAGGTGGGAAGATGGAAAGATAAAAAACAATCAAGGCCAAAGAAAGACCTCCATGCACAAGATCATTGGCTCTGTATAAATGGAATAAAAAGCATGAGATGATCTGTATTTTATTAGGATAACACACTTAAGATGTAATATCAAGTCCTAAGCCAAAACCATGCAGTGTAACTTTTAGACATTCTTGTATCACTGCGAAGTAATTTAGGGCCGGAGCAGGGGTGGCTAAATACAGCCTGCAGGCCAGATTAAGCCCAGAGGGATATTTTGTCCACACTCAGCTCCCACTGAGAACAAGCAACAACCTTCAGCTGTGGGCGGACGCTGACTCACAGACTCTGTTGCTACTCAGAGCCTTGCCAGCACCAACTAGTTGCAGAGAGATGGGATAGGAGAGTGTCAATCTGGCCTCTAAGGCCCCTTCTGGCTATTATCCCCTGGGACTTGATGATTCAGTACTGCCACAGATCCTGGATTTGTTGGCTAAGCACACCCATGGAGAGAGGTGTGGGAGAATGGAAAGGTAGCTGTAGCAGAGAGAGGAGAGTAGCAGTGGTGCCTTAGAGGATGCTTCCTCTTGCTCTTGCAGGATTTCAGTTCCATGAGAGCCACCCTTCTGTGTGTCGATGA